TAGATATACCAGCTACTAGCTGGAAATCAGCAAATTATTTTAAAAACTCCGAGTGTCAGTTTCTCTATCTGTAAAATGGAGGTGGAAATATTTGCTGTGTAGGATTATTATCGTTTGTGTGAAATGTCTAGCAAATTGCCTGACTCCTGCTAGATATTCTGTAGATGTTAGTTCCTTCTTTTATTTATTTTTTGTCTTCAGCACTCATTTCAGTGCAAATCATAGGAATACATGAATGTATGTTGAATTGATTATAAAATTGTAATATGCCATCAAATGGACATATTTAATGCACTATAATATCTGTACATTTGGTATAATAGTGTTTGAATTCCAGTTAGATTTTTTAAAAGAAGCCGAGTAGCTCTTCCTGCTTACATGGCCTAAAGATGCCATTTTGTTTTAATCTACACTAAAACAAGCGTCTCCTGGAAGGGTAAACCAGATTGGTTCCAAGAACCATATAAGTATTTTATGTTAATTTTTAGGAAAACTCCTTTTAATTACCTATCTTAAAAGTTTTTCTTATTCAAAATGCCTATTTCTTATATAAATAGGTGTTATTCATTCTGGTCGTTTTGACACTGGATTTTTAAGGAAAAGACCTACATGTCCATGGGCATCTCCAAAGTATTTATGTAGATCCTTGTAATTACTTTAAAAGTCCTCTTTGCATGTATTTCATCTGTAAGTATTATTACAGTTATTCACTGTGGAGAATGTAGAGGTCCTTATACCATTCTCAAAAAATGAATGTCCCATGATTCCAGTACTCTGTCTTATATGACCAAGTGCTCATTTAGCTCTGGTTAGTGATCATTTAAAAATTGTAGGCAAGAACTTCTGTTGAATTTAAAAATGCTATTTAGTAAATAATGACAAATGTTGATTTAAGTGTATTACAAAATCTTTATGTCTAAGAAAAATAATATTAAACAACTAAATATTAAAAATTCTGGTAGCTAAATAACATTCTAAGAGATGTATCTATTGTATTGATAATTAGCATAATATTTGAATTGCAAAAAACTCTTCAGTTTCACGAGTACAGTCCTTTTTCACTTAAGTGTGCTATAAAAACCTAAAGGTTTTCAAGCCAAATGAATTCTGTTTAGAATTTTGTTTAGAAAATACTTCCCAGATCATGAAGTTTGAATTATATATCCTTTTAAAGGCTGATTTTTTTTAAAGTTAAACCTTTAAAACTTAAATCTCAAAGATTTAAAGGCATTATTATTGTACTTTTAATTTTGCTCAGTGGAAATCTTCTAATCAAGAATATTACAAGTGGGCCTTTACATTTCTCATTGCCATTGACGTTTTGAATGGTGCATGCCTATTAAACTACATCTTGCATGAATGCATGCTAAGTTGCTTCAGTTGTGTCCTGACTCTTTGCGACCCCGTGGACTGTGGCCTGCCAGGGTCCTCTGTCCATGGGATTCTCCAGGCAAGAATACTGGAGTGGGTTGCCTTGCCCTCCTCCAGAAACTACATCTTAGGGTGTGCCCTATATGTCCATTCAAAAAGATACTTTGTGAGTAAGAGCAAAAGCCAAAAAGTTACTTAACATAGATAAACTTTCATTAGTGTAATATTTTAGTTTTTTAAAAAAATATTTTAGTTTTAATTCTATAACATTTCATTTTTTTTTTGATATTCACTAGGGTTGTGTATGTTTCTTTCCCTAATAAATTTTCAAAGAGCTTATTAAGTCATAATTGACATACAATAAATGGCATGTTTTTAAAGGATACAATAATAATACAATATTACAATAATAATACAATATTATAGTAATAATACAATAATACTGACATAGGTTTACATCTGTGAAATCACCACCACAGTCAATATAATTAACATTTCCATCACATCCCCAGTGTTCCTCCTCCCTTTTTTATCTCTCCCTGCCATCGCTGTCTTAATCTGTCCCTTCTTGGGAAAACTGATTTGCTTTGTGTTGCTATAGGTGAGTCAGCTTTTTGTAGGGTTTTTTTATACATGGGATCACACAGTCTGGTACTCTTTTTTTTGAGGGGTGGAGGGTATTACTTCTTTTACTCTGTATAATTATTTTAAGATCCATCTATTTTTTGGTGTGCATAGTTTGTCTTTTTTATTGCTGAGTACTATTTCAATATGCAGATGTGCCAGAATTTGTCCATTCACCTAATGATGGTCATCTGGATTCCTTCCAGTTTTTGGCTGTTTCTAGCTACAGTTTCTAGCTGTTATGATAGAGCTGCTATAAACACTGTGTGTGTGTGTGTGTGTGTGTGTTTTGTGTGTGTGTGTGTGTGTGTGTGCGTTTAAAAATTATTTCATTTTTTATTTTTACTACTTACTGGCAATCATGACTGTTGATTCCTTATCATATAGCAGTATTTTTATGCACCTTCCCCAGCAACCTTATAATTAGGGAAGACTAGGAAAACATCTTACTTTAAACCCATTTCCTACATTTTACCCATTTTATTCATTCGAGGTATTGATTATAGGAAAAAAAGATCTCATTTTGAATTTTGAGATCCTCACAGTCTGGCTAGCATTATCTCACTTTCTGTAATATCACTAAATAAAAATTTTAAATGTAACTGAGTTTAAAGCCTGTAGTCCTTAATTAACCAAAGAGCTTATGCAAATACTTTCTTCACTATAATGATGTTATGATGAATATTTTTCTAAAGAGAATAAATGTTTTCTAATGACCATATTTTATTTCCAGAAGTAAGTGTGGCAGTTGAAATCTTAGTTATCAAATTTTCTTTAAACAAGAAAATATAGAAAGGAGCCCATAATGCAATACTTAAAAAGGAAATTTGAGACATTAACTTGTAATTTTTATCATTTGGAAGATTTTACTGTTATTTTTATACTTTTTATTTTTTAAATCTTATTACTTTATAGAGTTGACTTTTAAAAGGAATGCTTTATTTATTTTGGCTGTGCCATGCAGCTTGTGGGATCTTAGTTCCCTTACCAGGGATTGAACTTGGGCCCTCGGCAGTGAAAGCACCCAGTCTTAACCACTGGACTGCCAGGGAATTTCCTAAAAGGAATGTTTAATATACAATAAAATTTCAAGCTTCTGAAAAAATATTCCAAGTCTCCATTTTTTCTTCATTTATTTTTATTAGTTGGCGGCTAATTACAATATTGTAGTGGTTTTTGCCATACATTGACATGAATCAGCCGTGGATTTACATGTGTTCCCCATCCTGATCCCCCCTCCCACCTCCCTCCCCTTCCGATCCCTCTGGGTCTTCCCAGTGCGCCAGCCCTGAGCAGTTGTCTCATACATCCAGCCTGGACTGGTGATCTGTTTCACACTTGGTAATATACATGTTTCAATGCTATTCTCTCAGATCATCCCACCCTCGCCGTCTCCCACAGAGTCCAAAAGTCTGTTCTATACATCTGTGTCTCTTTTTCTGTCTTGCATATAGGGTTATTGTTACCATCTTTTAAAATTCCACATATATGCGTTAGTATACTGTATTGGTGTTTATCTTTCTGGCTTACTTCACTCTGTATAATGGGCTTCAGTTTCATCCATCTCATTAGAACTGATTCAAATGTATTCTTTTTAATGGCTGAGTAATATTCCATTGTGTAAATGTACCATAGCTTTCTTATCCATTCGTCTGCTGATGGACATCTAGGTTGCTTCCATGTCCTGGCTATTATAAACAGTGCTGTGATGAACATTGGGGTACACGTGTCTCTTTCAGATCTGGTTTCCTTGGTGTGTATACCCAGGAGTGGGATATGCTGGGTCATATGGCAGTTCTATTTCCAGTTTTTTAAGGAATATCCACACTGTTCTCCACATTTTTAACAAAAAGTATGCAAAGCTTAAAATTTGTTTCCTTTTCCCACTTACTGGTCCTTAATAATGTGTGTTTATATGTGTATATTGGAGAAGGAAATGGCAACCCACTCCAGTATTCTTGCCTGGAAAATCCCATGGACTGAGGATCCTGGTAGGCTACAGTTCATGGGGTCACAAAGAATCGGACACGACTTGAGTGACTTCACTTAGCTTAGCTATATGTGTATGAACATATACCGTGGCACATGCACATATATAAAGCACCATTCTAAGACAGTAAAAACTACCTGTTTATGATATATAACTATGTTAAATTTATAGTCTATTAAGAATGGAGTTTTAATCTTTAGGTAGTTTCTTCCTTTTTTCCTTTAGTTTGGCTGCCGTGGGTCTTCATTGCAGTGCACAGGCTCTTTGTGGCGCACAGGTTTTACTCTGGTTGTAGCACGTGGACTCAGAGTTATGGCATGCGTGTTCTCTAGTTGCATTATGCAGGTTCTCTAGTTGTGGCATGCAGGCTTAGTTGCCCTGTGGTATGTGGAATCTTAGGTCCCTGACCAGGGATTGAACCTGCATACCCTGCCTTGGAAGGCAGGTTCTTAACCACTGGACCACCAAGGAAGTTGTTAGGTCGTTTCTTTTAGAGTGTTCCTAATGTTATTTACTTTAATGGCAAATATATAACTTTGACACAATACATACACAGTTCTATCTATTGGTGTGTTTTCTTAAAAGGCACTGTATTACAGTTTTCTCTACTGAGAACTTTTATTATGGGTGAGATAAGGGGGATATAATTTGTTTCCTGATAGAATCTAGGTGTTCAAATATTAATAATTTTAAATAGGTCATCTTTTTATGTTGAGTTATTATTTTAGGATCATTTGTGATATCATCCAAATTTTTTGCTTGCATTTTATTATAGTTTAAAGCTAATTTGGTCAAAGGTCTTTTGATGTTCTTTCTATGATTGTTAATTTTTTCTATTTTGAAGAACATAATAAATTTTGTATAGTACCAGAATACAGGCAAATTTTGGTTATTTTTATTCTCCTTCACTTCTTTATCTTTTTCATCAGTAGAAAGCTTTATTTGCTAGGCTAAAATATAACCTAAAATTATGATTTAAGCTAAGTGAAAAGCTAATACTAATTTTTTCTTTTAGATCTCTATAAAAATGGACTCCAAAGAGCTAATTTTGTCCCATTCATAGCTGTCCTGAAGGTAAGAAAAATCACTTACTTGTGTTCAGTGATTAATATCATATTGATTGGTAACTAAGGACTTTTACAGGATCACTATGGTCTTACATACAAGCAGAATTTATTTTGATATTTATAGTAATAGTTAAAGATACTAAAGAAGAAAGAAATCTTTTTTATATAGTGTTCATCAATTTGTATGCAGGAAAAACTGCAAAAGATGGTATAAATTATTGTCTAGCTGAAACATTTGATAGTTTGCATTTTATGAATTTTAATTTGAGGTTTGCTCATAAATATTATAGTGGAATGTTTGAACTTATACATTGATTTCTGAAAAAATATTTAATGTTCCTTGTTTCCTTCCAGTTAATGGCCATTAACATGTTTTCCCAGCTATTAAAGTTGCTATTTCAGAGTAGCATTATTACAAAAATATTCTAATATATTTAAATGTGATTGCCATCAAGTTATCATGAAATCATGTCAAGTTGAGGCACATAGTTTAAATATTTGTGTGTATCATCACTACATAGAACTTAAAATAGTGTTCATTACTATATGATTAAGAATAAAGTAGCCACCTTTTTCACTGTTAATTTTAATAATTTTTAATGCAATTATTTAATTATTATGCATTCTACCAATATTTATTAGGAACCTACTATGTGCAAAGTGCTACATTAGGTATAATGGATAATATAATCATTAAGCAAGTTGTTTCATGCAAGTCACTTATAATCTAGTTGGGTATATACTATGTACCCAAATACCTCTAACACAAGGCAGAATGTGATAAGTATCAAAAGGAAGCACATATACCCAAATATAATTCCTGTAATTCTCAGGCACATTTTTCACTGTCCATAAAAGCATATCCAAAGAAAGGATAGAACTGTGTTTTTTTTTTAAAGACATAAAACTCAAAAATTCTTACCAAGAAGGAGGAGTAAAAACGTTTATCTTCAAGTATTCTGAAGATGCAGTCAGACAATCTTTTTGAAATATACTTCAGTGGGAGCTATTGTTAGTGCCAAACTTTATTCCCTGTGCTGTCCAAACATCTGTTTCCTTGACCAGTTTTAGGTTCCCAGAGGATTTTAATTTCTCTGAGATATTTATAGATAAAGGAAAAATTACTTTTTGAAGATTTACGCTGTTAATAATTTTTTCCCCTTTATAATCTTATTTTACATTTGAGGAGAAGGTAGATTTGCAGTCTTTTCTCCACCTGGGAATCCAAAGTAATGTGGTGTATGTAGATACCAAAATATAAACAGGGAAGCTAAGAAAAATAGATGCTAAAAATAGTTTCTTCATGTAGCATAAAACACACAAGTATAAAGAGAAGGCTCACAGAATGAAACAAATTAAAAGGTTCTCAGACATCTTTGTAGCTGTACATTTTTTTAAACCCCAAACCTTAGTTTTTGTGATATTTTAACATATCATTGCTAATAGGCAACAAAATTGGCCAGGTTGAGTTTAATTCCTCCCCTTTCCTACCCTTAATTTTTTTTTTCTTTTTGTTATTCGGAAACTCAGAGCCATATTTTTCCATAGATACAAAAATACAAGTGGAATAACTGTAAAAAGAAAAAAGAAAACAGTGATGGGAATGTCTTTCTCTCCCATGTTTAGAGGATTTGTTAAGTAAATTATAGTATAGTCACATGAGGGGAAAATTGTGTGATAATGTAGAATCATGCTCAAGGATAATATGAGTGGAAAAATACAATGTAAGTGTATTTATTACTTTTCTTGGAAGTAATATATATACATAGAAAATACTGAAAATAAATATCCCTAAATGTAAACAGAACTTTTTTTCTGAATGATAAGATTATGGATGATTAAAATGATCTGTTTTAGACCTTTCAAAGATTTCTGGAATGATATTGAATTATTTTTATAATAAAAATTGTTTTTAGTATAAGTAAATTTTCATCCATCCTTCCTAGAAAATCAGCAGACCTGAATAAGACTACCCATATTCAAAACTGAGAAATCAGCAGAAGGTAAAATGAACTGAACATGAATCCATGTAGAGACTATTAAAAAAATGAAATGACAGCAATAAGAAGGAAGTAGCAGGAGTAGATGGGGGAGAGGTAGGCATGAACTAAACAAGTAAAAACACATGAAAACTTGCTTTAGAAGAATTATCCCAGGAAATGGGAGATTTTTTTCAGTTAAAACTTTGCTATATTTTAAAAGAAACTAAAGTCATGGTACCAATGAAAAAAGAAAACGGAGATGAAAAGCTGTAAGATTAGATGAAAAATAAGCTGTCAGAGCTAAGAAAAGACTGAAGACAGGCCCGTTAAAAAGTGAAAAGCATCTTACTTAAAAGTAAGTCAAAGAATCAACACTACTGAAAATAAAACCAGTGATAAAGAGATCAGACTTATGAAAAGAAATCACACAAAATGAAGCCAAAATAGTCAGAAATTAAAAACTATTACAGAGAAGGTGTTAGTGTGGAAACTATACAACAGATCAAATATTCACATAATTTGTATTTCTAAAAAAGAAAATATAAAGATAAAATAGAAGAATAATGTGCTTTTCTGGTGTAAAAGTGAATTTAAAAGATAGAGAATCCTACAATTATATAGAAGAAGAACCAATGGGGAAAAAAATCAAGCTAGACTGAGAATTTTTCACCTAACGTTGGTTCTGTGATAGTGTAGAATAGTTTTTACTATATTGAAAAATAATATATGTGCCCTCTTGTCAACTGCACTGTTATGAAAATCCAAGCCCAAAATGTGTATTTTGGGATATATGGTAATTCAGAAATTGCAATCCTCATGAAGCTTCCTGAACAAACCAAGATTTTGCCCTACCAGTCAAAATTAATAACTTATTAATGGAGATATTATGGTAAGAAAATATTGGTGGTCGTCTCTGAGTTTGATTAAATAGTGTCTTTGGTCTTGTCTACAATCAGATAATAACGTTTTTTTTTTTTTTCATTTCATGTGTGAACTTCTGTAATTAAGTTAACTACAGAATGCAGAGTATAAAAAAGAGACCTCAGCCCACACTAGCAATTTGAGTAGAGGACATGGCACATGTCAGGAATGTTTCCAAAGATCAGGTTATGAAAAATTAGTTACCAGACAAAGCAGGAAAGGGCATTCAACATGGAGGGAAAAGCACATGGGAAAAGCATGAGAATTATATAGATTAAAAATGTTGTGATTAGTACTCAGCTCATTGAATTTTCATAGAATAGTAACTACTGTTCTTCTGTTTACTTGAAGCTTGGGATTTTGTTTACAACTCAGATTCCCTTCGCCTAAAATAATAGCAGAGTATGTTTTGTATTGTATGTAAGTATTAAAAAAAAAATTTTGGCAGTTAACATTTCCTTATTTATATAAAAAGATGGTTAATATTATGATTATTGTACCTACTTGAAACTTCATATCAATATTCTGATTTTGATGATTTATTCTTGAAGAATCTTTGTCTTGATTTTTTTTTTGTCTTGATTTTAATAAAGCCTAGGTAATTCTTTTTAAGTATGTGAACAGATATAGTTGTGAGAGCATTTGTTGGTATCTACATAGCACCAATTTATAAAATTAAATACATCTGCCTCAGTCTCTGCACTGCAGTATTTTAGAGTAAACTGATAATCTATACCAGGGGTTAATAAACTACAGATAGTGGTCAAATCTCACTTGGCGCCTGTTTTTATAAATAAAGTTTTATTGAAAAGCTTAATGCTCGTTTGTTTCTGTGTTGTCTATTTCTATTTTCCCACTGTCATTGCAGAGTTGTGTAATTGTGGCAGTGAAGTATGGCCTTTAAAGCCTGAAATGTTTGCTCTCTGGCTCTAAAGAATTTCTTACCCCTAATCTATGTAATATACAAAGGACAGAGAAACAAACAACTGTTAAAAATAACACATAAATAGCACTTGTTTTCTATAAACTTGTTTTATGTGGTGGAAAACATGGGTCAGCATAGATTCATTAGTAGGTCTTGGAGAAGGTGACATTTTGAGAACTTGCTGGATAAACGGTTGACTGAAGGGAGAATGCTTGATAAACTAAAGGCAAGAGAGTGGTCCAGCATCAGCTTCAAATAATTTGATAACCTGAGAAATATCAGCTTTGTTAGGATCAGCTTTCTTAGAATGTCTTCTGTTGTATACATTTAAAAAGATTAATGTCTTAAGTGTACATGCATTGAATAATATTTGAACATAATCTCACTGCATTGCATGCATTATTTGAAACTACTGGGTTAAAAGAAAATTGTATTTTGGTCCTAAGAAGAATAGTTTCTTGGGTTAATTTCATCTAGACTATTATTGGCCTCCTTGATAAATGGATTGCCTGGCAAACACTGCTCTTCCCATTTGACCAAATCTTGCACTCTATCATATTTTGGAGGATGTTTTCTGTTTGGTTTAAAAAAAAAATCTCTGTTCACTTCATCACTTACACCCACATCACCCATTTTGTTTGATTCATTCTGTAATGAGCCCTGAAAGAGGTAAATGCTATCATAATTTTTAGAGTTAAAAAAAATTTCCATGTGAATTTCATTAACTTTCTTTTTATGATTTTCTTATTTCGTTTAACAGTATGGACAAATCTAAAATAATTCCCCCTGGGAAATATTCTTATACAATATAAAAATGTAGTGTTTTTGCCACACAGTGATAGATTATATTGTCAATAATATAGCACTTTAAAAATAATAATATAGCACTTTAACTCTCATTGATAGTAACATTTTAGAAAACTAATTCTCAAGTTTTTTATTTCTGTTTAAAATTAAGTGAGTTAGATGATTAATAGATTATTGAAATGATAACTGTAAGTTGATAAAAAAAATAACCAACAAGGGATTCGACAGTATAATTTTCTCTTTGATGAGTGTCAGATGAAGAAATTAGAAAAAAATAAGATACTAGCATAACATTTATAAATGTGAATTTTCCCTTTCCTGATGAAGAGTTGCCCCTTTGGAAAGCATTATAATCTGCTTTAGTTTAACATT